AATTATACAATTACTTATATATATATATACAGAAATGATCTAATGAGCACCGGTGCTCATCTTATCCTAAGCACCAATGAGTTGGCATATTAATTCATTGGTGAATTGAACTCACAAAATCTTTATCCACCAATGAATTAATGTGCCAACTCATCGATGCTTAGAATAAGATGAGCACCGGTGCTCATTAGATCATTCCTGATAGTATTTAATCTCTTAGTGTATAATTTATGTATCCCATGAAATAGAAATTAATGCAACTAAAATATTAGGTTTACAATTTTGTGAGGAATAAATTCATGCACATTTGAGTAGTAGTTTTCTTAATTACTGGAATAATTATCCCATCAATTTTTTCCCATGTAGAATTGTGTTTAATTTATTACCTCAAATGTTATTGATGAGGATTTACATGGCCCCTCAAACATGATTTGTTTCACCAAATAAGTCTTCCCTTGTGGTACGGTAATCTTAACACTGCTTGTCCCTTGGTTGCAAGCTGCTTGCCATGTCGCCATGAAAGCCTAAAATTTATTTGACGAAAATGTAAGCTTAGTGGGTGAAAAAGGTTGCGATATCAAATGTTATCTTACTTAGCGTTTATCCAAACATTCGGTAGAATCTAGTTCTTTTACCTACATCTTATCCAAACATTTAATAGGACTCACCGTCTTTATCCATATTTTATCTACAGTTGTAAGACTCACTACTTTTAAACACTTGACAACAATAGCAAACAAGCAATTCTATGTTCGAAACTAAAGAGTTACTTTGGTATCATCTGCTTTTCCATTTCCGACCGCTCCAAATTTTGTGACATCCAACGTGGGTGGTGCAGAAACCAAAGCATAGCTGGTTAAACTTCCTCCATTTACTACGGTTGATGCCAAAAAACCCCAGTGCAAAATCAAAATACATGCAAAAATCTCCTGAAAATATTTTTTGCAAATCAATATCAATAGATAAAAAGACACCCTCCCTAAAAAAGTATTAAAAATAAATAGATTAAAGAAAAAGAAGAATATTCATAGTTTAGAATCATTGCTATTTCATTGACACCAGAAACTGAAAATGCATACCATCTTTGGAATAAAACTATCAAATAAAGTGAATATAGGAACTAAAATGCATTGGTAAAAAGGACCTGGCAATGGCCAAATATATAGCAAAGAGTCTCAGAAAATATAATCTACGTATCCAGTTGTAAATTTCAGTCACAAAAGAAAATTTAGAAAAAAAATTAACGTATTTATGAATTGGCATTATTCACAATTAAAACATTACCATTTACATCAAAAATTAGAGATGGCAATGAGCATGGCGGCAATACCCTTCCCCACGCACTTCTCGTTGGGAATTTTTGGGAGGTGGGACCATCTACTGCCCCATTTATTTATTTATTTATTTTTATAACTTTTTACTTTTCTAAATGTGATTAAATTGGAAAAATAAATCTAAAATAACATTAAAAATTTCTGGGCAGTTCAAGAAATTTGTGGCGAAGATGATGTTTCTTATTTCTTCGCCATTTGCCTAAATTGGAAGGTTGTTGATGGAGAAATTTTACATCGATATTTAAAACGTCCTTCCATGCATTAATATATTGGTAGGTTAAAAAACGGTAGATTCACTATTTATGGGCCTTCTATTTTCATCTAATTACAAAATTTTCTACCATATGTGCTTGTATTACTTCTAATTTCAAAGAATTTTACTTCTCTATCTTATGTAAATGCATGTGTAAATTGTAATACAATCAAGCCTGAAATATCTAAATTCGACCCAACTAACACCTAGAGGAGGGTGAATACATGATTTATGCGAAATTTAAATTTACCAATATTCAAAGCAACAAGTCACTATAAATATTTAATTCGCATAAATTCACATGCAAATCTAACTTGGATGTTGAATTACCGCAATCTCTAATATGCATAAAGTAAATAGCACCAATAATTGATGACGGAGAAAAACCTCTTGTGGGATCAAAAAACTCCGAGCCCAAGCCAATAAAATTCACTATAAACAAATTAAATTACGGTAAGGTCTAAACTCCACTAATTACTAGTACTTTGTGACCTCCCGTAAACACCAAGGAACTCCAGGACTGCGAGCTTCTGCACTAGCTCCTGACATTTGGAATCCGCTGTAGATCACCAAGAACTCCTCATCCTCCTACAATCGGAACTCCAATCACCTTGCTGATTCTTCTGCACTCTCTGATAGATATTTAGGAAGTAGGTGGTTTGTTGTTTTGTGAATACGAATTTGATATTTTCAATGTGTGGTTGATTGATTTCAATGTACGGAATTAATGTAGGATCTCTAACAAATGAATTCTACGAAGAATATAATAAGCAACCACGCTTATGGACGAAATATAACTTGGGTATATATAGTAGAAGGTGCTTGGGGTTATTTAGGACTCAAAAATCGTTCAAATGCGATCCAAGGTTTTCCAGGAAAAAGTGGAGCTCGAGCGAAACCCAACAATAGGCAAGCTCCAAGCTAACGCTTGACCGAAACATTGGCATTAGGCGAGCCTTAGGCTGACTGTTTTGGATGCTCAAGCATGATCTTGGCGTTGTGCGAGCATTAATGCGCCGACTTTATCTTCTTATTCCATACTCAAACCTAAAGACTCATAATTGACGTATACAACCTCTCAATTGACTCTTTGACTTATATCCAATTTTGTCTAAAGATCTACCAATTACAATAAAACCTAACAAACTCTCCTTTTGACATTATCTAACAAAACTAAGTACTTAAGTCGAAGCAAAAAATAAAATATATGTGTACCCAAAACTGATTCACTCAATTGATGTTTTCTTTCTTCTTCAAACATGTTTCCTGAAATGAAATATAGCAATTGAGACATAATATAATAATCATGCTAGATAAAATGAGATGTAATATCAATTTCAATCAAAACACCAACAACAACATTAATATCACAAAATATCAAAACTCAAAATAACGAAACATCTAAAAATACATCCATAAATGTAATGTCTCCTCAAAATGATCTATAATACTACAAATACTACTCCCCTTTTTGTCACAATTGACAAATGGGCATATCATTTAATTTGACTCCTAATCAGACTCATAGTCATCGGCTCAATGTAAACAATAGTAATTGGATACATCAATGAAAAACTAACTAAAGACAGGTGCAAATAGCATCAATTTTTAATTTTTTCGAATTTTGACCGTTTTCATGATTTTTTAAATGTAACACCCTTCTTCATATGATAACTTGAAAATGAAATTGATCACTTACACAAGAAAAATCAAGAAACGGTGAACTTTTCCCAAAAACTGGTTTTAACATACATGGAATAAATTGTATAAGTAACCCAATATGTGTAATGTGCCACTTCAAACTTGTTAGCAAGATTCAAAGCTTTAATTTTGTGAGAAATAACATACTAAATAAATCACTCGAAGTATTAATAAATTCCTTATGTAATGAAAGTCAAACCCAGTGATATTATGACCCGTTTAAGAAAACGTTTTTAGATTTTTTACTTGAATTTTTGTTATTCTTTTTCTCTTCCACTTACTATCAGCACATGAATTTTTATTTTTATTTTCTCATCTTATGTGTAAACTCAACTTCATCTAGCTTTCTTAATAACACATGTATCGAGTTTTAGGCCAATAACTCTAAATTAGATGACCATAGGGTTTTAGGTTTTGAGAAACCCTTGAAGACTTGATTGCTCGAGTTATCATGGCTTTGAAGATGAGTAAAAAATGTATCAATCTTTTCTTCTTTTATTTTCAGCAAGATTTTGGAAAGTAACAATTCCATTCAATTCGCTTTAGAAAAATTCATTCTTGTGTTAGGATTCTTCTTCCATGGTCCTCAAAGTCTGCCTGCCGAAGGGGTAAGTTGAGTGATTTCTCTTGTAGGGGATCGTAGCTAGGTTTTTTACATGAAATAAGTATTTCTTACTTAGAAAACTTCAACACTTCCTTGACTCCTTATCAGGATGACCTGGTAGTCCACTATTCGACAATCACCCCCACCAAGTACTGTACCGACAATACAACAATTCTTTTTAGCAACTGCACTAAATCTTGGGTCAACCAGTTAAAGGTCAATCTGTATTTTAACTCCTAGAACTTTAACCTTCTGACTGTAAACTCCACGCCTGGACTGCGTGCTCTTACACCAGCTCCTGACTTCTGGAATCATCTATCTCCTGTAGATCATCGAGAACTGCTCGTTCTCCTCCAATCGATACTCTAGTCACCTTCCTTAACCTTCAACACTCTGATAGATATTCCAGAAGTGGATGATTTAGTGTTTTGAGATTATGTGTTTGATGTATTCCATGTGTGGGTGATTGACCTCAATAGGGGATTGATGTACGATCTCCAACAAATGAAATCTAAGAAGAATATAATGATCAAACACTTCTATGGACGAAATATAACTTGGGTATATATAGTAAAAGGTGTTTAAGACTCAAAAAATTGTTTAAAACATGATCTATAGTTTTTCCGAAAAAAGCCTGCGCACGAGGGAAACCCCACGCTAGAGTTAACCACGTCATCCAAATTCGCATAGAAATCATCAAATGATTTATCATCCTTCATTCTAATTTCTTCAAACCTAGTAGTCAACATCTGTAGTTTGGAGTTCTTAACAATCTTGGTTCCCTCGTGTGTGGTCTCTAAAATATCTCATAACTCTTTGGATATCTCACACATAGATACTCTCCTAAACTCTTGGTGGGACACAGCCATAAATAGGGCATGGAGCCCTTTAGTAGGGGTAACTACACCTGCAAAAAAATGTATCTGGGACAGTCCATCTCTTTCTACGCATACCCAAATTCTCTCATCCGTAGGCTTTATGAAAGATCTCAATCCCACTTTCCAGTAAAATTAATTGTTTCCTTCAAAATATAGAGTTACATTTAATGATTGACTCATCTAGATAAAGTGGGGTGAATAGGTATTTTATGTGAATTTAAATTCACAAGTGTTTTAAGTAACAAGTCACTATAAATATTTAATCCAGACAAATTCACATGACCTAAATGTAGAATTACTGCAGTTTGCAATTTTTTTAAAGTAAATAACACTAATAATTAATGATGGAGACAAATTCCTTAAGGGATAAAAAAACTTCGAGCCCAACCCAATAAAATCCACTATAGATAGATTGACTTACAGTACGGTCCAGATTCAACTAACTCCTAGTATTTTCTGACATTCTGACTATAAACACCAAGGCACTCTTGGACTGCGTGCTCTTACACCATCTCCTAACTTCTGGAGTCGGTTATCTCCTATGGATCACCGAGAACTCCTCGTTCTCCTCCAATCGAAACTCCGGTCACATTCATAAATCTTCAACACTCTCTAATAAATATTTAAGGAGTGGGTGGTTTGGTATTTTGAGAATATGAGTTTGATGTTTTAAATGTGTGGTTGATTGATCTAAATGTACAAAATTTATGTAAGATCTCCAACAGATTGAATTCTAAGAAGAATATAA